ATAGCCAGGCACCATCAGCTTTCTTCACCACATTTGCTTATGCACCCATTTGTCTTCAGCGATGGTATTGGGAAGGTGAGCATACAATAATATGATCTTTGTTGTTTGATGTAGCAGCCAAATACTTAACCATGGTACCACTAGGACTCTTAGATGGGTGAGATTTGAGGTTAGCTGAAGATTCAGTCTTTCAACAAGGGAATTAAGTTGCTAATTATTTTCATTAGAGTACAATAATATTCTCACGGATCATATGCGAGTTCATTTGTCTCAATGCGCAGAGGGCTTTATTACTATACAGGGAATCCTCTCTCCTTTGCTGAGTTTAAACTTGGAAGCCCTAGAATCTTCCAGATTTAAACTCTATCATATTAAGAATAACAAGAACAGTTAGCTTCGAGCAATAGAAGATGCTGGACTCTGTTCCTTTTCATTATTCCATTGAATCTTTATAACCACCCATCTGACGGCTGAGAAAATGAATCAGGACTGGCTTCAGCGGGCTGGGTGACTGTGGTTGGCTACCAGTAATAACAATTGCGTGCTGGGAGGAAGGGTGAAACTTCTAAGCTCTTCGTCCTGTGTGTCAGGGGTTTGTTAACAGAGAGCCCAGGGTGTGCGTCTAGTGTGTGCCGTCCCTGACTTATGCAGTTCGGTGGCAGACTTGTGGTGGCTCTATTTTCTTCTCTTAGGTGGTCCCCAGCAATTGTGTGAGTGACACAGGAGGTCCGGGCACTGCTATGAGCAGTTTTCAGGCACAAATGGTACAGGGTCAAATAAAGAGGCAGGCTCTCTAACCTGATTCTCAACAACAGTAAGTCTTCCACAATTCTGGAAGACTGCTCCAGAGGCCCATCAATCACAGCCCCCCACCCCAACCCTCCCAGCTCCACAGGCCTTGTTTTTCCTTCCAGGACATCACTGACCATTGTAAGCAGGCTCCCTCCTTCCTCTCAGCCTCCTCCTCTCCTTCCCCTAACTCTTCATGGCTTGTTCCAGGGAAGGGGAGGCCTCCAAAGGTCTCCAGCCAGATCCGCAGGCTTCTTCTGCCCAGTCCTTTATGAGAGGGGGCTGTTGTCCAAGACCCCTGGGGCAGGACCTGCCCTCCCCCATGGTGTGCACACTTTATGGACTCAACTGCTCACCAAAAGGTGAAAATCCACCAAGAGGTATTTTGGAAGAAAGGTTTGGTGATCTGCTTGTGAAGAAGATACCAGTCATAGAAACCCCTGTGGAGTTACTCTGACACACATGGGATGGCCACGATGCAGTCAATTTGTCGGCAACTGGTGGGCTTTGGCGGTGTGAGGTCTTGGGAAAATCTTGGTTCTTTATGCATCTCTAGGAGGTGCCTGAGGAAAACCAGGAAATTAGCTGCCATCCACTCCAGCACGCTGTCTTCCTGTGTAACTAAGCTTGTTTTATAAATGTCAGTAGCCTTTCTAATATGACTCCTTTTCTTCAATATTTATGGCCCCAGTGAGAGCTGTTTGCATGACTCATGTCAGTGTTTTTGTTGGTATTTGTGTGTATGTGTTCAATGACTTCTAGACTGTGTTGAGACTTCCTAGTATTTGTGGGCTTTTTCCAGGACTGCCACTGACGAGCTGTGTACTTACTCATGGCTCGGGGGCCTTAGCGGTACATTTACCTGCTAAGAAAGGGGTTTACACCAGGTGCTGTCTAAGTTCCTTTCTGTCTACAGGTGTTGTTCTTCTTCCTTCATAAGGACAAAACCTGGAAACATTGAAATGGCATTTTGGTGAAGCGCTTACAGTTGTTGAATTCTTAAAGGGCGACTAGAACATTGTGCTATTTGCTGTCAGGTTTCCACTTACTGATTTTATTTTGCTACTTTGATACTGTGGCCTCCTTGCCAGCTCCCAAGTTTTATACCAGGTGTTTCCTTCCACAGAGATGTTCCCTGAGTTACATTGAATATGTTAATGTTTTATGTGTCAGACTTTCCAACTTCTTAATCATTGCAAAATTATTGGCTGGGTTCCTGCTGTGTTTTTAAAAAATATTCACTACTTATTATTGAGGGCCCTGGATTTGTCGAATATGATTCCGGCATGGCTTTGTTTGAAACAAATGTTACTGTGATTGGAATATCCTGAAATTAATGAATTTGTGGGGAAGGAAAAAAATGTGGTTGCATATGTCCTTACTTGGCTCATATAAATTGCCTGCCTGTCAAAGTCTTATTTAAATGTGACTTTTAAGTGGAGTGCTTTGGAAATTTTAACTAAGCCAACTCTCAGGCACTCCCCACCCCACCTCCTTTTTTTACTCCCTGAGAACATTTCATCTCGTCTAACCATGTCGTATATTTCACTTTGTCTAGGAATCTCCAGAAAGACATGTCTGACAAGATGTCTAGTTTCCTACATATTGGAGACATTTGTTCTCTGTATGCGGAGGGATCGACAAATGGATTTATTAGCACCTTGGGGTAAGCACATCTGATTGCTCATGTGGCAGGATTTGTGAAGACATCAGCTTCCAAACCCCGAATGTTCTAAGTCAGGAATGGCACCATTTACCTTGGAGCACTTCAAACCGTGAATACTGAATCTTCTGTCGTCTAAGTTTAACCTCTCACACAAAAGCATTGCTTTCTGACAGTTCTGAAAATGTGACACCTCGTTAATTAGAACTCATTAATTCAGAACTTATTATAATTTCTCTTTCTCTCATATATAAGGAAGAGTGCTAGCTACATGGACTAAAATGTTAAGATTCATGTTTGCAGACCCTCATAGTAGTGCTATTTAGCTTTGTGCAAGCTATTTTCAAATAACTTGTATGTAATGACAGCGACGGCCAGAACTTCTCAGACGCTTGTCTGTCTTCTCTGAAGCAGAAGCCCTCCTACCTCCAGTTACTGTGTATTTGGAAGCTGCACGTGGCACTGAGTTCTGTAATTCAGACTTACTGCTCTTCTGTGTGGTTTAAGATCCGTTCCTGATGTTTAAGGGCACAGCCATGCTAAGAGGGGCTTCAGAAAGCCTGCAGGCAAGTGGAATGAAAAGATGATGTACTGACTTGATTATATGCTCCTTCCTCCTTGTTCTATTGTGTAGAAGAGGAAATGAATAGTCCCCAAATGCAGATAGGCAGAATAGAGACTCAAGATGGTTATGGTTAACTACAGGGTAGTCAGGAATGATGTCTATTGCTTTTGTGAGGAGAAAGAGTAGTTAGGCTTGGGTGGCCTTTTTGAATTTCTCAACAACAAAAACACAAAAACCCTAAAAAACAAAAAACCAACAGCTACTCCAAGAACTTCATTTTTACAGCAGCCAGCACTTCTATTCATAGTCACACTCTCAGCCAGACTTGAGCTCTGCTCTTCGTGCAGAGTGAATATGGATCCCAGATTAACCTACCCACCCGGAGCAAGTTAGTCCAGATACAGAATTCCAGCTTCATAGGCCTGTGCTCTTATGGTAGAAAACATTTATTTCCAAAAGTCCTGAGTAGAAGGAAGTCATCCATGCCAGCCTGATCACCAGTTCCATGGACCACGTCTCAGCCCTTATCAGCCCTTATCTCGTCTGACTTCTCCACGCCATAGACCACGTGAGCAAGTTCTCTTCTGTGGCTTGGCAAGAGGCCTTCGGCTGCTTGTGCTTCTTGGCTCTTTTTCCCCCCTTAGCTGTGTCCTTTCTCCTTTTGCCCCCCAGGGCAGCAGTAACTACTTCCGTGAATCTAGGTGTTACTGTGTGCCAGACCCTGTGCTAAGTACTGTACACACAACATAACATCCCTTTGTAGTCACACAGCATTTCAAGCTGAGTGCTGGGATTATCCCCAGCTGATGGAGAGGTACAGTCTCTTGCCCAAGGTATCACAGCTTAGAAGACTAGAGGCTCCAAGCCAGTGCTCTTAGCACTTACTCTTGCAGGACTGGCACTCCTTCCCCTAGCTTGCCTGGTTAGATGTGGCTGCTACACTGCTCACTGCCTGCCCAGCTTTCATCTAGAAGCTTTGTTAATCCTTGGCCCCACTGTAAACCCACCCTTTATTCCCCCCACCCTTCCCTTCTGTGGTCTGATTCCTGGTTCTGCCGTCGCTGCCCTCCCAGGCACCAAACTTATGTCTAAGCAGTTGCTGAACCAGCCCTTAAAATCTTGATACCCACTTTTTTCCCCTTCCTCTCTTCCTTCTTGAAATCCCCTCAAAGTACACACTGCTCGTTTTCTAAGCATTTTCCTCCAGCGTTGTCAGTACTACTGGCTCTGGCTTGTGGCATCTCCCAGCATGAGAGCAGAGCTGTGCCCGACAGGGTCTTCAATGGTAGCTCTTTAGAAGCATGTTGCCGGGGTCCCTCCAGACATTCCATTAGAACATGTATCTCTCTCCTCCCAGGGGCTTGCAATACACATGTAAAATAAAAGTGTAAAGTCGTATCTGCAGGGGATTTTATACATGCACATTCATTCCACTTCTTATCTTTCGTATAAAAGCCCAGGCCTTAGAAGCAAGATAGAATAAACCCTGGGCAGTGTTGGGCGCTGTTCTGCTTTTGCACCCATCTTGTCGACGCCAAGAGGCCTTGGGTCTTGGAGCAGGAGACACGCTTGGTGGGATACTCAGGTGACTTGGCTTCACCCACTTATAGCATTTCCCCTGGGTAAGAAGATGGGATGGCTCTGCGTATCTTCCAGGCACAAAGGAGGCCGTTCTCTGACATTGCAGCGCTTCTAGTCCAGTGCACCTGTTGTGCCTTCAGCCCATGAGCTGTGAGCAGGAAAGGTGCAGGCGATCGTCAGAAGGGAGGTGGAGACTTGCAGTCAGGGCCTTGCAAGACAGGCAGGAGTCTCAAGGGGACAGGGCATTTTGGAGGAAGGAACAGCCAGCGTCAAGGGAAAAACCCTTGAGAACCATCATACCGTAGCTTAGAAGCAGCTCTGTGTTTACTTGGAAAATGAACCTATCCTGCCTATACTCGAAGTACCTGGGTGGAGCAAATGGTGAATGTACTCAATAGCTCACCAAAAAGTTCAAGTCCACCCACAGGCATCTCCGAAGGAAGGCCCAGTGATCGACTTCCAGAAAAACAGTTCCTGAAAGTCCACGGAGCACTCATAGATGTTCTGCTCCCCTGCACACATTGGGTCCCCACGGGCAGAAACTGGTTTTTGGTTAACCATTCATTATCAGTTCAGGTAGTTGGACAAATCATTTAATTTCCCAGACCACCAGCCTCCCCATCTGTTCCATTTCTTCCTATTTCTAAATGGTTCTCTCCTCTGAAAGAGTTGTGCAAGTTTGATGGGCAAGGCAGGACTTTAGTACTGGCTGCTCATGTCACTGCTGTCTGCTTCTTTGTTTGTGATCCTTTTCTCTTGTCCACAAGCTGCTTTATCACTGTGAACTCATTGTTTTCCACCTGTACTTCTTTCCTTCTGCAGATGCCCCCTCACAGTTAGCTTTGGCTGCACGTTGTTCATCCTTCTCTTTTAGCAATTAGGTTATCGTCTTCTTTGTGGCTGCCTTTTGGGCTCTTCCACTAGCCTTGAGCAGGAGCCTGGTGCAAGGATGCTCCCTCAACTGCTATTTGTTGAGTGCATAGACCACTCATCTGATACTGGTCTTGAGAAGTCACGCATGCTGGGTGCAGATCCGTCATGGAAGTGGTGAAGGCAAAGAAGCCACAGAAACAATAGCTTCATGTGCCCACCCTCGCAAGAGAACCACAGGAGACTATCAGGGTCAATAGCTCCCTGGAAGGAGAACATTCCAGCCTAAGTTTTGTGCAGTAAAAGCCCTGGAATGTTTGAGTTTTACCTAATACTTAGGGTTTTATTTTCCTAGGTTGTCAATGCATGTCCCTTTGTCTTCTTTGCAGCCTGGTAGACGACCGATGTGTTGTGCAGCCGGAAGCTGGGGACCTTAACAATCCACCTAAGAAATTCAGAGGTAAGGTGGTGGCGCCCCTGGAGTGGACACTTGCTTCACTTGAACATTCATGAACTGTGTTGCTCTGTGTAAGTCCCCTTTCTCTGCTTTGCACCCTCCTTCCTGCTCTTACAGCAATTTTGGGCTTATTATATATGTTTTTGAAGTATGATTTCAATTCCAAGCCTCATGAGTCGATTGACTTCTTGAAAACGCAAAAATACATCCAATGACAAGATGGGGATGGTTTTAATAGTGCCTTAATTTGTCTACCAAATGAATGGTGATTAGGTGCTTATTACGTTTGAGGGCTTCCATTTATTGCAGACACATTTCCAAATGCAAAAAGTTTATTTATTTATTTATGCAAGATCGAATCTCCAGGAACATTGGTTATTTCAGTAGCTCCCTCCCATACCTCCCCC